CAGGGACCACTTTGGCCAGTGTGCTGTGGAAGAGCTAAGTTGCGCTAGTCAGGGACCACTTTGGCCAGTGTGCTGTGGAAGAGCCAAGTTACGCTACTTAGGGATCACTTTGGCCAGTGTGCTGTGGAAGATCTAAGTTGGGCTATTCAGGGACCACTTTGGCCAGTATGCTGTGGAAGAGCTAAGTTGCGCTACTCAGGGACCACTTTGGCCAGTGTGCTGTGGAAAAGCTAAGTTGCGCTAGTCAGGGACCTCTTTGGCCAGTGTGCTATGGAAGATCTAAGTTGGGCTGCTTAGGGACCACTTTGGTGAGTGTGCTATGGAAGAGCTAAGTTGGGCTACTCAGGGACCACTTTGGCCAGTGTGCTGTGGAAGAACTAAGTTGCGCTACTCAGGGATCACTTTGGCCAGTGTGCTGTGGAAGAACTAAGTTGCGCTACTCAGGGGTCACTTTGGCCAGTATGCTGTGGAAGAGCTAAGTTGGGCTACCGGGCGTACTGAAGTCCAAAGTTCTAAAAATCTAACAACCCCACAGTCCTACGGGTGGGGAAAAAAAATGTTTGTCGGTTTACTTTTAAACATGTCTTTTCAAACATTTTCAGATGTTAGTAGCAGGGTAGGTGGTTAGTCAAGTCCTTTTCTCCAAAGCGGCAAATGGTTCTCAAACTTGGCTTTCGACCCGGAGCCTTCACATGACGAGCAATGGCATTCAGCCTTGCAGCTTTGGACATTTGCCTGAAATCGAATGAAGATGGACGGCATGGAAAGTATGAAAAGTATGTTTGACGGCTGACCCGTTCAGAGTGAGAAAACCCGGGAAACGACACTTAAGGGCTAGAAGCTACTAGGGGCTCCTGGCATCACTACTAGGAGCAAGAAGCTACGCTCCAGTGCAAGTGCTTCTTCAAGGAAGCTCCCCCTCGCCGCCTCAAGGCGGCGGAGGTAGCTTCCTTGAAGAATCGTGAGCTATCCTGCGTCCAGTAGGTAGTAGCTAACTTAGCCTAGTAGCCTAACTAGTCGCCTGACTTAATTAAGTAAGCGGGCAAAAGAAAATACTGCCAAAGTCTTGCCCAGGTTACGAATGCTTCACGGCTTCACTGTTTCTTTTGGAACTTGAGGAGCTGAAACTTGAGCCCCAAATCTTCGCCGAGCAAACAGCAGCACGGTCACACTGTCTTGGGGGATCGACGAGAACGATGTGAACAAATGTGAGCATAAGTCAAGACGTCATGTTAGAAGACTAAAGGATACTAAAGGTGTGCTTTGTGCTTTTTGAATACACAATGTTGAAAATGTGTTAAAGAGTGTAGACTGATCTAATCGATGTAAACGGACGGCATCGTAGTGGCTCCGTTGCTCCTGCTCTAAACTCCTCCAGCGCAAGAGTAGCGTAGCCTCAGCTTTCCAGCTTTTTGGTCTCTTTTTGGTTTAAAAAAAACATTAAAAAACATATTCCTAATTCCTACCCAATAGCG